TAACTGAAAGAAAATCACTACAAGTCAATGTACGATATAAAGATAGATTTTCTTTCTCCTATATTGTATTTAGGTATACAGTGTAGTGAATGAGAACACAATGAGGGACAATCAAATACATTTGAATACAAAATTGCAAAACATTTTAATAAATCTGAGAATCATACTGTAAATACCTAATTTGCAAAATGTCAATCAATGGTCTCAAACTTGACTGTTCTTTTTGTAAATATCAGTCAGTCGTCTCAGACTTCAATGTTCCTTCATTTCCATACCAATTACTATATGTTCCTGTTCTTTCCTCCTTGATCTTCTTGACCTTCTGATGACAGATATTCTATCCCTGACCAGCGTTATATACTACACATGTCGATATTATTAGCACACACAACAATAGTATCTTTGATACTATCCATAAAATAATCACTGTTTTCATTGAATTTTATGCATTTATAAACGGATACATTTTACAAGGCATTATTTTATTCTAACGATATGAAACCTTCAGTTTCTTTAATGAATCTAGACATTAACTTTTTGATGCAATTCATTTCAGCAGAATACAATCTATTTAATACTTTAGTCTACCATTGACCTGATCTTTCTTTTAATTTTTCCATATTTGGCAATAAATTAATGTTAACCTTTGTTTGCTAAGTATTGTTTAAGTAAAACTTTTTTTACTTCCATACTTCCAACTTAAGATATTCTATATTTCCCTCGTATCAAAAGTTTCTAGAACTTGTGCCAATGACGTCTTAATTCATATGTAATGGTTGTTTGGAACTTCCCATCGATGTTTATGATTGCAATTAATCAGTATCTTTCGGCATATGTGCATCCTGTCAGGATTGCCTCAATATTACCAGCAAGTCATAATTATTATAAGCAGAGATGAATGGTAGCTAGCAGTGGAATCCAGGAAGCGCGTTTCGTTCTATTTGGGACTTGTCGACTGGATGTACCTAGGAACACAGAGTTAATATTCACTCCAAGACTCAAACTCAGGATTATTCGCTTCAAACGTCACAGGTTTATTCTCTTGGCTACCGAGTCTATATAGCTACTGGCTTGTACAGTCCTAAAACTCTATGAAAAATTCAAAAAATACATGTGAAATAAAATACTATCAATTTCATAAGCCAGGGGCTATCAGTATACAGTAGCCTAGTGGATAAAATGATAGTGTTTCAAGTGAGAAATACGTGATTCGAGTCCATGAGTGAACATTAATCCTAGGTTTGTAGGTACACATAGTTGATGAGTTACAGATAAGGCGAAACGCTAGTCTTGGGTTCCATGTTAGCCATCTATTTGAGGAAACAGTTTTGTTAAATATTTCATACTACTTACATATTAAAAAAGTATAATTTAATAAACCTATTTCTGTGTGCATCTCGCATTATCTTGAAGTTGGATTTTTCAATAGAAATGAGCCATTCTCATTAAATTTACACGAATTAGAGATAAAGTGTTATATAATACTGTGGCAGCTACATTACCGAGTAGAAAGCTTGCAGTAACTAAAGATCTGGATATTTTCACCTTATTGTTCTGTATTTTATTACTATTGAAACGAACCCAGGACCAGTTTATTTTATATCTAACTGTGCATCCTATAAATTAACCTGCTATCCTTATCTCATATTTGATTGTATAGATTATTCTCATAATCTGCTACTCTCCTTAGACTTATCGCCTGTTTTCTAATCTTAATTATATTTTGCTGTTGTACTGTTAGTTAACCCTTAACCTTTTAAATACCTCCAGATATTAAACTCAACTTGTATGCTCTTTCATGAAAAATGAACAATATTCCTTCAGTATATACATTTTTAGCTTCAGAACCTTTGTAAATAACACCTACATATCACAGTTTATCATAATCCCAGCTGTTCTGTCCAACTATGTGTCTTATATCAATGGTTGTTGTGGCTTGCGATGCTGACTGATATCACATATTATAGTTACCAAACAAAAATCTATTATGACACGTCTACGATCTCTTCTATGGCCTAGTGTCTTAGACCTAATCAATTATACGTCAAACCAACACCATTAACCTTGAGCTTGTGTAAAATAATCCCCTGTTGGTCTGACATTCCCAAGCTTTTTCCTACTCCTGGTCTTGAATCCAAAGAGAAGCCAGCATGCAACACCATTGTTATTATATTTCAAGCAAATGTGGGTCTTCATTCAAACATGCTGGACCACATCGCACCATACAGTGAAAAACTACAACCATATCCAAACAATACAAAAGTGATTGTGAATATGAAAAGCTTTAAGTAATAAACTGGGAACAATTTACAAACAGTAAGTCATATTACAATAGTTAGTTTTCTGTTGATCATTTTTAAAAAGTGGAATACCTTAGATTAATTCAATTTCTTCTATAAATTAGCATTTAAATTCTGTTGAAAATGTATTTTAGTATAAATAAAACTGAAGTCTAGTTGATTTCAATCTTTAAGTTATTTAAAAATATCCATCTACTTTTTGTTATTTTCAAAATCATGAATAATTAGAAAATGATTTTGTGAATATTGTAGCAATTTTAATGGTTGAATTCATGAGTCGATTAAGGCTAGACTACTATGGTATATTTGGAAGTACCGGATGGCCGTTTCGTCCTAGCATGGGAATCCTCCACAGTGTGCCTTAACGATCCCGCTCACGGGATCCGAACCCAGAACCTATTATGAATAATTGCTTAAGATTGGATCGTAGGCTGAGATTTGAAATATGTTTTTGTCAACGCATCAGTAAGCAGTTTAAGAAAAAAAAGAAGAGGAGATAATTTCATTCCAATGAGAGAGTTAACGATGCTATATTATGTATAGAAAATCACTGGTTAAACTACATTTTAATATATCCACAAACTACAGTAACATTATACTGTAATATGAAGGCATTTAAAACCTATTCTGTTATGTATGTCACGGTTATATCTGCAAAATGGTTATCTGACTTGTTTCTGATACTGAAGCTTCGAATCCAACGTCACGTAGTAAAAAAAAGACTGGTGACATGGATTTATGTTACTGAATTGATAAATCAATAACTTAGATGTACGGTATTTTTCTAGACAACCATTACATGTTTCTGTAAGAACAAGTACTTTAATGAACGAGAACACGGCTGGATACAACCAGTTTGTTTAATACAAAATTACAAGATATCTTCGTCAAATATGAGAGCCATACATTAAATACTTCATTTACAAATCTTCCACCAATTGTCTTTTACATTCTGTATGATTCTTCCATTTCGCAATCCCTTTCTATTTCCCTTTTTTTTCTTCACTTCAATCTTCTTTACCTTCTGCCGCCAAGTTTTCCACTTCCGATTAATGTTGCATACTACTTATGTTTGTCGACATAAGTAACACACATCACAATACTATTTAGATTGTCCAACTAATTATTTCTAGGTCAAATTCACCAAAACTTATAACGTTCAATCCATCTTCAAAGATTTGAGTTTTTAGAAAAAAGAAAATATTTTTCAGCCTATTTTCATCTTTGACTCAAAAAATGTCGCAATAAATAACTTTAAATGACGAAGATCATTAGAACTAAGTGAAATATTAGAGCAATACTTTTCGAACAATCTTATCATACAGTTACTTGTTCAGAATTTAAAAATAAAAGGTCGAATGAACTAAAAATGGAGGGTAAAAAGAAATCAAGATAATAAAGTATATCATATGAAAAACAATATAAAACTCACCATGCTGAATGATAAATTAATATTACCAGAGTAGGTTCAAAATGAGAATTAAATTTTTATATACAATAAAGAGGTTAACGTATCACATAGTTCTGCATAATCCTCATCTTTTTATTACACTATTAAAATTGTAGGTGGTTATCAGGACTCTGTAGCTAAGTGGATATCGCGATGGTGTTTGGAGCTGAATGGCACTGGGTTCGAGTCCCGGAGTGAACATCCACTCGGGGATGCAGGTACATCCAGCTGACAAGTCTCACGTAGGACGAAATGCACGTCTTGAATTCCACTGCTAGCCACTATCCATCTTTGCTTAAAAAGCTTGTGACTTAAGGTTATATCGAGGCAATCCTCACAGAATGCACATATACCAATAAGAGACTGATCAATTACAGTCCTAAATAACAATGGGAAGATACAAGTAAAACAACACCAAGTGAATTTAAACGGTTTTTATATAGAATAAAGAGGCTAATATATCACATAGTTCCATATAATCTTCATCTTCTTATTACACTATCGAAATTTATCAAAAGGACTAATTATTTCAAATTTTAAATGAACTTTTCGTTATCAAACAACAACAATCAACATATACTCACTAGTGACTGGCTTCACGAGTTATATCCTGAAGTTCTAGTGAGAAGTAGTGACCAGTGGAGTTCAACCAGGTCTGTTGTGAGATAGTAACTCACTGAAGACACTGGTGGATTAGTTGAAGTTAGACATTGACACCATTGGATGCCGGCTCAGTGGTCTAGTGGTTAAGTGCTCGCGCGCGAAACCAGTAGGTCCTGTGTTCGAATCTCGCTGGGGGCGAGGTCGTGAATGCGCACTACTGAGGAGCCCCACAATAGGACGAAACGGCCGTTCAGTGCTTCCAGGTTTTCCATAGTGGTCTAGCTGCAACTGACTCATGATGTTAACCATTGAAATTACTATAATATCCACAAAACCCATCTGATATTAAATAACAAGATTGTTTCGGTACCTCATCACAGAATCTATTATTATTATTATTACTATAATACATAGAGTACATTGAATATGGAACAAAGTATAATTATGTAATTTATATTAATTATAAAAATCATTAAACTAAAGTCTTATCTTAATCAATTCAAGTACATTATCAATAGAACTATCATGATTAAAACACTTGAAAATTGTTTTTGTTTTTATTCTTAAGTTTTTCATCTATTTTTTTTATAGTCGACTCAAAGGTCGTCATAATTATTACTATATCAAACTTCAAAGTTGTATACAATAAACAGTTAACAACTACTATGGACTTTTACAAAATGGTAAGCTAATTGAGAGGATTTGAATGTTATGAAGTATTTGTACATTTTAATTGTTGATTCACATATGAATCATAGTTGATTTATTCACTCATTTATAATTGATCATTTCAAGTAAAATGTTCTATCTATTTTGAAGCTTATTTATTATGAACAATCAGAATTAAGATAAAGTTAATCAAAATCATGAACATATCTAAGTTAAACTTACTTACGTCTGTTACTCCTCGTGAAGGAGCATAAGCTACTAGCTCACTAGCATTCTCCATCCAACCCTGTCCTGGTCAATCCTGTCTAGTTCTTTCCAGTTGTTATTTAGCTTTTTTCATATCTGATTCTATTTCCCGACATAATGTGTTATTTGGCTCTCCTCTTTTCCGCTTCCCCCTAAGGATTCCAAGTTAGGGCTTGCCTCGTGGTGCACTTTGATGATATGCGTAATGTATGTCTTATCCATTTCCATCGTCTTTTCCTAATTTCCTCTCCAGCTGGAATCTGGTTTGTTCTTTCCCACAGTAGGCTGTTACTGATGATATCCGACAAATCGGTGTTGAGTATTTTGTGTAGACAATTATTTATAAATACTTGTACCTTTTTGATGATGGTTGTAGTAGTTGTCCAAGTTTCATCTCCGTACAGTAGAACTCCCTTGACGTTGGTATTGAAGATTCTCACTTTGATATTGGTTGAAATTTGTTTCGAATTCCATATGTTCTTCAATTGTAGGAACCTAGGTTAAACAATCATTGTAAATCTGAGAGTAGTGGACAACTTTTTTTGTCACAGTATGGGAATCTGGAACAGTACATATTCACAAACCCGCCACTTCAGAAACACTTAAACTCTAAACCATTGAGTTCGGCTCTGATGGTATATATATCCAACTTTAGTCATTCTACGATACTAGCAAACCATGATTCATGGAATATAGTGGACACCCTTCTAGGGTCAACACTCGATAGTTAGGTCGTGGATATACATATGAAGAGTCTCAAACTAGGGCGAGACAACTGTCTAAGTCTTCCAGGTTTTCACTAGTTTTCTTACTTAGGTCGGTTTGCAATCTCGATAACAGTCAACAATCTCCACAACCCCCATACATATGTATAATCAATTAACAGAGAATGAGTCATATGATACAAAGTATCTAACTCATATTATCCACTGAACTTCATTATTCTGTATAAATCTACCATACATAACCCAATAAATGACCAGTTACTTTTTTAAACTATACATTTCATATTCAGAAATAATTAATTAATCTTCCTTTAGCATCTTGAAAAGTGTTATAATCTAATATTAAAATTTTGAAATAATATAAAACAACTTATCAATGTTTGCTTGATAATTAACTTTTAATATAGTTTAATGAAAGAGTTCTTCTCTTAACAAGTTCATTCATAAATTTATCTGTAATCAAGAACATCTTTTATATTAGTATAATGGGATCGGTAAAGATGATAGAATTCTGATAGTCTAAGTAATTAGCTAATTTTAGCTAGAATAATCTTAGAAACCTGGAAGAACTGCACTTCTGTTTCATTTGAGTATAAGATTACTCAGCAGTGCATATCCACAACTTCACCATAAGGAGTCGAACCCATAACTTTCAATTTCACGCACGTATGATTAACCTTTAAACCATTAAGCGGGCATCCAACGGTGTACATGCCTAACTGTAATCAATTTGCAATATTTCACAAGCTTCATTCATTACCTACTGTAAATAACTGTCTCACACTTGATATTTCTTATATGCTTGTCAAAATACCAGATACGTATAGTTACAAATAAACAAGTGATTACATAACTTCACCATGTAAATAAATAACAAACGAAAAGATTATATCATAAGGGTTTTCGTGAATATTATAGTAATTTCAATGGTTGAGATCATAAATCAATTGAAGCTAGACCACTATGGAAAACCTGGAAGCACTGGACGGCCGTTTTGTGCTTCCAGGTTTTCTATGCTGACCTAGCTTCAAATGACTCATGATTATGTATTAAAATATAAAAGATAAATTTGATCACAGTCTTACTTTGCCTACATTATGAAGGGAACTGTACTTCAATAAGATTTCAAAGAACTTCAGTAATCAATCTTTATGATGTAGATCAAATAAAGATTCCACATAAATCGTATATACTCCGTTGACAAATCTCTTTAATAACAGTATAGACAAAAACAAAGTCGAATAGGAGTGTTTCGGTTGTCTATACTTTATACATTCTCCTCGATAAGGATTGGAGAAGTCAGCTATACTTACTAAAAATATTATTCATAGCAAGTTATAATCTAATCCGAAATAAATAATACATGGGGCAACAAAGAGACAGACATTGGATAAAAACAATAAGTGTATGAGCAAAAACACACGGAAGCATATATGAGATGTGTTAGCGTAAGATTACAAGAACACGAATATAAGAGGTATATATACTGAAGTTCACAATATTCTATGGATAGGATAAAATTACAAGGATGGTAGAATTGATACAGTAGTAATACACTATCTGAGTTATTAAAGTCTGTCCAATTGTTAAGATCAGTCACATGGTTTATAATAGCATAGAAGCGGTTACAATATTAAGATATCGTACAAAGACAAGTGTACAAGAAAATGACTTGGTTAAATAGTATTGTAGTTTGTTATAATAAACTGTGTTTGAAATTTACCGTAAGAGATGATTTTTAAGATTATCACTAGTGATTAGTCTCTAAAATTCAAGTTACTCAAGCAGGATTTCCTCTGAATTCAATTACATAGTTTTTGGATGATTTAATTTCACAATCACTAATTCATTATGATCATCCATGGAATCCATGATCTATTGTGGTAAACCAATGAATTTCATTTATGGTTGTGGTTTACGTTTCCACAAAGTAAAGCACGACATCCAACTGTCTCCTTTGAAAATATGAATCCGCATTCTGATGAAGCATTAGGAGAAACAACCTTATAAAATTGTCACACTTACCTCGTTCTTTGGGAACGACTAGGATTTCTTCTACAGCACATAATCCTTATGTGCGGTTTCCCATTCTGACATCAATGACAAAATGTTACCATCTTAACGTTTCTTACTGTATGACTGAACGATTCCAGCGACGGAAACGTTACTGGAAACAGCATGAATCTGAAGTAGTAATGGCGTGACTAGTCGGACTTATTGTTATCTAAATGTTCGTCATCACACAAATTATTGGCTTTTATATCAACAGTGAAACAATAATAACCTGTAAAATCCTCTTTAGAACTAGCAATATTATTCGACGACAGGTTTGTGAAGAGCAAGGGGAAAGATGTGAAAAAATCTACTTTAATTCATGGGATGGCGATCAAAGAAAATTTAGAGCAGAATCGGTTTAATGTTCTGGGGATAAACACTACGTTGCCAATTCATCTGAATGTAGTGTAGTCAGTGATAACGGTTACTTTGTGGTTTATTTAGTCACTCAATTGTAGATATATTGGACTAATTTATATTATGGGGTTATTTGGCGATATGACTTTTGCTATGTTGTCATTTTTCCTCTATCATGACTGAGTGCGCTACACTTGACACGTCCGTAGTATGACAGAGTGATATTTTCGTCGAAGAAAACTTTATATTTTTTATGTAAGCCAGAAGAAACGACAGATAACGAAACGCTCCCTCCATCATGGATTACATTAGTGTAAATAATAATCCCCGCTTCATTTTTGTTGACTGCCAGGTATAAGGGAAAAATTGCGAACGAGAGTGGAGTTTATCCTCACTCGTTTAATATTATAGTCAAAGTTTAGCAAGTAACGTTTGTAACGGAGTAACTTTTTTACTAGTTATTATAGTATTTAACTTTTGATACACCCTAAAGAAATAGGCTATAACTGAAATTAATAATGAAGCCTTTCATTATTTAATCTATCTGTCAATATATCTCATGACTAAAGGTTGAATACTAACTTTTAAATGTATAGATTAACAGGTATAATAACTCAGTAACAAATAGATTGTACAGCTACGTTTTAAGGTTGATAGCTTTAAATCAGAACTTGTTACTAAGTAAATTAATTCATCACTAAATAATTTGGAAAATTATCTGAGCAAATCCCCTAGAATTTTAGTTAATCACCCAGTAGTTGAAAATAATGTATATTCTTTTATCTGAATAATATGACGGAGTCGCGTATATTAAGGTTGGATAACTTAGGTGAAAAATATGTAGTCTTGGTATTGTAGATATGTTTGAACACAATCCGTTAAACTTCTGAAATGTATTTAGTAAATTATCTTCTATTACCTTACAACAACTTTTTAAATTTTTTTAATATACAGATAGATAGTGGCTAGCGGTGGGATTCAAGAGATATGTTTCGTCTTTCCCGTACTCGTCAAGTGGATGTACCTGCACTTGTGTTGATATTCACACCGGCACTGAAATCAGTGGCTTTTGTCTAAAACACCTAATAAGTAATCCACTTAGCTAGTGACAAAACACTAGTCTTGGATCCATGTGCTAGACACTATTCATCTGTGCTTGGAAATCTATGTGACTGATAGCAATAACTCAGTAATTTGCATAGGATACACATATGCCGAAAAGAGACCGTTCTGTTTCAGTACTTAAAACCAAAAGTGAGACGTTTTAGGCCTTCAGAAATGAATTAACTGTCTTTCGATCCTTCTGATGATATTTATTGCGTTAAAATGCAGTTTTCAAAATGCTCAGTATATGGTGATTAAATATTTCAATGGTATTGTTTTTCTCTAGTCTGAAAAAAACAGAAATGATCAAAAAGTTTCAATATCTTCAAGAAGTATTCAGTTCATGATAGCAATATTTGGAATATTTTCATTTACACTAGTCAACATCACAGTTATTGTGAGACAATTTCATCCAAAGTGGAAAGATTCCCCAAGTTCTATGATATTGCAAACTGGAATAACTCTGTTTGGTTTCTTGATAATCATATTTCTTGTTGTAATAAGTCAATTGAATGTGAGTGACTATGTTTGTTGAATCATACACTGTACATTGACCTGATTTGTCTCTATCCAGTAACCTTCGGTGATAGATGGATCATGGATCGACTGAGGTGAGACAATGACACCGTTGGAGACCGGCTGAATGGTTTGGTCATTAGTGGTGCACGCGACACCGAGAGTTCTGGATTCGAGTCCCACCCACAGAACCGTTGGTGCACGCTCTGCTGAGGCGTTCGACAGTTGGACGAAACGGCTGTCCAGTGCTTCCAGGTTTCTAATGGTGGTCTAGCTTCGATCGATTTATGAATTCAACTCTTAAATTATATATATGTATATAATCATGAAATAGTTTCTAAATAGACAGTGAAATTATGTGAACTGAAAAACGACCAAACTGAGAGTTAATAAAATAAAATTTGATTATAATATGGCTGTTGAGTTTGATCTCTATCGGTGGGGTTGTAAAATATGTGATCTTCAGTGATCTGACACCTAAAGGAGACTGTTGTCCATAGCTTCGTAGTGTCCAATAGGGATTTAATTTAGTATCATTACTACCAGTAGATTGTTTTTAAAAAATCTCATTTTAATAGTTGACATTAGAATTACTCAATAATAATGAATCGAATGATTTGATGAACTCTTAGGAAACCATAACATTAATGAATTTAAGTCAACTTATTTGAATAAAAAGAGCTTCAAGGAATACATATGTTTCCAATGTGCTTTTTCTTTCGTTAGAAAACGTCTGAAATGTTAATAGAAGAAGAGAGTAAACATGAATCAATAGATAAAGTAAGTTTATTGATGAGTGAAAGTTAAATTTGTGTGCTGCTTCATACATTCGATCACTGTTTTTAGTATCTTTACATATATGGAGTTCTAAGGTCGAATTCCCTGCAAAATTGTGTGCAAATTATGGATCTGGCGGTGTAATGGAAGGATTTTAATACTCAGCAGAATTACTTCAACCAAATCAAAGGATGAAATGACAAGAAAATCATCTACAAAATAAACTGTTCCCAATGAAATAAACATTATAACTGATAAAGTGGCCACCCTCTTCATTTACGCCTGCATGAACATCTACTAGCTGTTTAATTCCATGATGTATCTCCGTTTTCATCAGTGTATGTGGATGATTGTGGATATACGCTCGATTAGGAAAGTCTTAAGATTTTGGATAGAGGAAATACTAACAAGACCACAGAATTTTCAGAATCTTGACACTCAGACCAATCAGAAATCAGTAAATACATAAAAACCGCTTCAACTTGGTAACAAATTAAATATATCGGGGACAAATATGGGGTCGAGAATCAGATCAAAGAGAGTAACAATCAAAATAACCATGTAAACAACGACAGGTCATCAGTAACTATTTAAAATCAAGGTCAACAGGACTAGCCATCAATTGTATGTGGAAAAATTCAAGTACCTCACTTCTCGTACTGTTACGGATATGAGGGCTGGTGTCACTTCCCGGCTGTCCACACCGTGGAAGGGTATTTCTTGAGGAACATGAAAAGGAATTTGGATTAATGTTGGCCTTAACAGCCTGGGGGCGTGACCGAAGAGCCCATGGGACAACTGCTTGAGGCCGGTCGCGCATGGCCTTTTTTGGGGAGATTTTTGACGTGTTATCTCCGTTCTTCAAATGACCTTACCGCCGGAGACGGATATCCGTGAGGTAAGGTGAGGTGTGACATTTTTAGGGTCAACCTTTTCTAACCTCCTCCTTCCTTGTGAGAAGGCAGCATCGCTGTAGATGCTGGTTGTCCGAGGGAAACACCTTACTGCTGTCACACCCCTCTACAGTCAGCAGTATGACTTCGCCTTCAGACCTTAAGTTACTACTTTTAGTCTTACCATTCTCCAATCGACCTGTCTGGCATGGTAGAACCTACAGGTACATATGTTCCAGTCAATATAGTTCGGTTGGGTCATCACGATAGGCAAGCCCGACCACCGCGTCAAGGTAGCAACTACGGTCGGGACCTCACTTCTACCGGAAGTTTGCGCTGATGATGATGTATGGAAGAATAATCAAAGCTCCACGATTAAACACTCCAGCTCAGTGAACGAAACTCAACCACAGGTTATATAGTGTAAATGCTAAGATTACCAGCATACATAACATCAATATGAGTTGATTAAATGAAAAGCTTGACAATAAATTCGTTACACAAAGGATCCCTTGTTTGAAGTATATATACCTTTAGTATTCCTACAAAATACAAAATTATATCTTCATATATATTTATATATTTCATTATAGGAAGTATTGGCTCGTCAAGAAACAAAAGATGATACATACATATTATCTGTTTAATATTGAATTTATTCAAGTAATTTAATTTGTTCAGTTCATTTCAATGCATTAGGTATCTTAACAACGGTTATCATCATGATTTATCATATTTAATATTTTAAACATTTCATAAACAAATGAATTAATAAACTCCCTAAGAATTCACTATTATTTTTGCCTTCAAGTTGTATTATTTATTGGGCATTGGGTAAACTTAAATGAACCAAAACAATAATATAATCTCACTAGTTGAAATCATGAGTCAATTGAAGCTAGACTACCATGGAAAACCTGGAAGCAATAGACGGCCGTTTCATCTTAGTATGGGACTCCTCACAGTGCCCATCCACGAGAATAATATAATCTATTGATGAAATAAATCATTTCCTAAATTTAAATCACGATTTGGTTTTAGCTACATTATCTTTAAAAACCTGGAAGTATTAGACAACTGTTTCTTCTTAGTACAGGACTTCTTAATAGTGAGTAATCACAACACAGTGCTTCTTGATTTTTAATGTTGATCCCAATAAGATCAGTTCGTTATTTAAACTATGAAAAATCTACTATTTCCATAAATTCCCCCAACCCCGTACAAATAAATAATCCTTAGGACCTAGGAATATTAAAATCAGTAGTTTCTAAGAAAAATATCAACCTTCGTTGTGTGAGACGAAAACCTTTGTAGAGTTTAGTTTTTTTTAGTTTATAGGGTGTGATCAATATTGATGGGGTATAGACTGAATTCAGTGTATGTAGGTCAGTTTTTTTCCCACTTCAATCAATTGTATTGTTAATTCATTTAAAAAGATGATGATCTATTACGTAATCAATTACGCAAATATTCATGGTGGATAAGTAGAAAAACAGAGAAACTTATTTTTTAGGATGTAAGATTTCAGAATAAGCTTGTAAAAATTCCTTATATTACGATCTACTCCATTTCTTACACGAGTTTGGTAGCACTTCAGTTCAGTTTATTAGTAAAGTCACCTCTTCACTTCGTGTCTACACACTTGAGTAATAGGTTGGACTTGTATATAGGAATAATGCATATCATTATCTGAATCGGATGATCATCTAACGGAAGAATAAGAAAGACTAATACTGAAAAATTAGTCTACTTTTGTTTTACCGGAACGAAAAATAAATGAACTGGTAGACAATAATTATGGACTATTATTAAATATATTCCTATTGGATAATTATTAAGTGACTGGAATATATATACTTTTTATCATAAGCTTCCATTTGGCCTACTGGCTATTATTATACGATTTACTATTCTTAACTTATTCCCAGTTTACCAGCTACAGTATCCTACACTCACAGTTACTTTTGGCTTCATAAGGTCTGGTTTACTCATATATGGACCAAGTATATCTGAAATGTGATTCATGCAGCGGAAGCTGAGATTGTGATCTAAACTGAATGGGCTGGGCTAGGCGAGAAGCTACTACATCAAGGACCAATAAGGACACAGAGTTGTTTCAAGACTGGTGGTTTTGCTTAACGTGTCATTGGTTTAGCAAAGGAACAAAGTCATATGAACCAGTATTCTGATTGGTGACTATTTCACGTGATATTTGATGGGGCATAAGATAAAACAACTTTTAGCGTATTTACTTAAACGTTCTTTCCATTTAAAATGTTACGTATATGTCTATCTGCTTTTTGCGTCTGTATAGAAGTAAGAATCTTATCTGTTCATATATGATGATGTTTGTTAAGGAGTAAGTCTTATAGACTTGATCTGATCTTTACTTTTAACATAAAGTCGTACGACGCAATTTTGAATCGCATATTGATGTAGATGTTTGTTTTGGAAACAAAATTATCAGAGCTATTAACATTATTAGGCTTCTATACGGTTCTTATAAACGTACAGAGTACACATTATGTACATACTCCGCACTGAATAGTCTGTTTTTTCATTTGCACATATTTATATTTATATCCGACATTACGGAGTAAACCTTGTTTGTATAAAAGTAGTAAAATTGACTATAGAACATAGATACTACACCTACCATGTATATATCCTACATATGGAACAGTTGATCAACTAATATCTCATCCAATTAAGAGTAATTTTGGGAAGAACATTTAGTTAATAATATCTTTTCCCTATTCAGTATGCATTTGTAAATAATTTTTCAATTTTTTTTATATCCTACATGCAACCCTTTAATACTTAATTTAGGCGGTGATAAATTTCCAGTTAACAAATGTTATATTCTAAGCATAGATGGATAATAGCTAGCAGTGGAATCCAGAACGCACTGGATATACCTGCATACGGGGTGTAGGTACATCCAGCTGACCAGTCCCAAATAGGACAAAACGCGCGTCCTAAATTCCACTGCTAGCTACTATCCATCTTTGTTTGTAATGCTTGTGACTTAAGCCAATATCAGGGCAATCTGTACAGGATATACATATATCAATAAGAGACTAATTAATTGTAGTCCTAAAAACCGATGGGAAGATTCAAATGAACAATACAATGTGTACTGAATATTATATTTCAACAGTTGAGATCATAGGTCAATTGAAGCTAGACCACCATTGAAAACCTGGAAGCCCTGGACGGCCGTTTCGTCCTATTGTGGGACTCCTCAACAGTGCACATCCACGACCTCGCCTCGCAGGACTAGAGCCCAGGACCTATCAGTCTCTCTCCAGGCGCTTAACCAACTAGACCACTGAGCCGGCATCCAATGGTGCTAATGTCTGACTTCAAACAATCCACGAAATTGAGCGACACATCCACCATTGTCATCATTCAGTTACTACCTCACCAGTGACCCGGTTGAACTCCACTGGTCACTGCTTCTCACTAGAACTCCAGGATATACCTCTTGAAGCCAGTCACTAGTGAGCATATGTTAATTAGTATCAGAAGGGGTTTTGTGGAGATTGTAGTAATTTCAACAGTTGAGACTGACAGGTCTCGGGTTCGAATCCTGCGAGGCGGGATCGTGGATGAGCACTTCCGAGGAGTCCCACAATAGGACGAAACGGCCATCCAGTGCTTCCAGGTTTTCCATGGTGGTCTAGCGTCAAATGACTCATGTTCTCAACTGTTGAAATTACTACAATCTCCACAAAACCCCTTTTGAATATTATATTATTATTTGCAGTTATTTAATAGATATCCTTGTTGAAAATATAACTTAAAATGTTTGTTCCATTAAAAGGTTATAAATAACATTCAAACAGTATGTGATAAATTCAGTATTAAAGCTTGTGTAATGGATAGGAATAAAAAAACATCACTTCAAACAATTATGATTCTTTAATATGTAGAGCATAGTACAAAATAATTTAGTAAAGTATTTAGTTTATTTAAAGATGTTTTTCGATAATTTAATAAGAAAACAAAAATAATCAGAACCATGTGATGGTATATGAGTGCAATACATTTCGAACAATCTGATCACTCACATAATGTACTTGTTAAGAACATGAATATACAAAAATTAAAGGTCAACTAGACTGGAAATGGGGGTAAGAAGTGCCAAGGGTAATAATAATAATAAGAGTAATAATAAGAGTAATAATAATAATAATAATAATAATAATAATAATAATGTGTGATCAGATTGTTCAAAATGTATTTCGCTAATATACCATCACATAGTTCTGATAATCTTCGTCTTCTTATTACACGATCGAAATTTATCAAAGGGATTAATTGCTTTAAAGATGTTTGTTTCGAAGATTTTCTACCAGAATAAATGTTGAGAAGATTTATGCATTATTCACTGTGTTTATTGTGTGTGAGTTTCGGGGTTTATAATCTTTCTAGAATTTAACTATTTAATCTGAATAAAGAAAATAATGAATATATCGATGGTATTTGTAGTGAATCGTATTTTCATCCGTGTGTGTCGAATTTCACATATTCGATCGTTTTGATGGTAAGAGTTTGAGTTCCTCCATGTTTTTAAGCTAATGTTTCATTCAATGTTTGTTTTTTCCCCTAATTACATTTTATTTACTCGTTAAATGAACATTATGTTTCAAATACATTTTATATTCATGAATTCAAAAACTATCTTCACTTTCATATAGTTATACAATAACAATTATAGTTAAACGTTCATAGTTGTTCCTTGTCAAATATTACCATTGAACTTGGTAAGTCAAATCGAATCACTATGAATTGAAACTAATTCTATTTATTACAATTTACTGATGTAAATATACTTAACCATCTGGCTTTAGATGGTTGTACAGTCGAATCACATGACTGACATACTCAGTAAAAATAAATGTGTTTGTTATATCTGTTATACTGACGGATGAACTAAGGAAGGTAAAAATGAATTTGTGGACAATGATAGGAAAATCGTTGACAATAAACAATCGATAGAACAAAATGTTAGCTACTCATGAAGAAGTTTTTTTGGATACTTCTTTCTGAAGTTTGTACTGAAAATGGTTTCTAGAAATTAAACTATTTAGCACAAAGGACTCAACTTCATCCAATTCTTCCCTATAAACTATAAATTTTCCACCATTTTATTTGTAGTGGATTATCCTTGAGACGATTTCTTGGACTACTTATATCACTCGCCCTGATAGCTGTTATTGAATAAATCTCAACAGTGTATAAATTGCAGGAGGCAACACGAAGCACCGACTACAGATTATTGTTGAATAACACAGATCACTAGGTCACAAGCACACCAAGAAAATTCGAGCAGAAATGTTAATGCGAGCGAGTGAATACATATGTGAATTAAGAATCGGATAAAGAATAGAATAAAAAGACCAATAAATGAATAAGATATAAATACACATATATGAGAAAGCGAACGATTCATCGAGCGATTAAAGCAACTAACATTTAAACAAATTACATGGGATATGTGCGTAGGCTGTCACATGTGATCAAGCGTACATGTTCATACGGACATGGTAATAATACCAAAATATACAAATTGTTACTGCACGAACAACATTGTCTGTTAGATAAGTCTATTGAAGGACTTAACAAAATTAAACGTAAACAAATTGAAGTGTACGATTCGTGTTACATATTTCTCCTTGTACATCTAGATTGTATACATGAGCTTAGAAAAAATAAAATCCCTTTCAAAGATAATTTAATAAGGGTAAAGCAACAACATATTATATATTTCAGTTATAAAATGAATAGAAT